TATATATATATATATATATATATATATATATATATAGAGAGAGAGAGAGAGAGAGAGAGAGAGAGAGAGAGAGAGAGAGAGAGAGAGAGAGAGAGGAGAGGGACATATATTCTTGCTTCGTCCACGTTTCTATTTCTAACGTCTCCAATCATCATCTTCGAAAATTTTACCCAACAAATAAGAACAAACAAAACAGCGAAGTCTCATCCACCATCTTCAGCCCTTCCTGGTCGTTCTTGTTCTCCTTTGTTGATTCTTATCACGTTCTCCTATTGTCATGTGTTCCTTCCCTCTACTGTTTTTGTTCTCCTCTTTCCATGGTTATCGTTGTCCTCTTTTTTCGTTGTCCCTCCTCCTCCTCTGTTCTCTTTCCTGTCGATCCTCGTGGTCACCCTCCTGCTCCCTCCTCTTCTTTGCTCCTCTCTTCCATCCATCGTCGTTGTTTCCTCCTCTTTTCTACTTACCTGCCGGCCCTTCATCTCCTCTCTGCTCTTGCTCCCCTTCGTCTTCGCATCACCGATGTTCATGTCTCCCGTTTCTGCCCCTTCCTTCATCTCGTGCCCGATTTTCCTGGTCTTCATCTTTGCATCCCTTCTTCATCCGTGTTGTCCACCTATCGCTCTCTCCCACACCCTCAAACCCGAGTGACCAAAAACCACAGCGTGATGCTGATCTTTACCTACAGACACAGAGCTCGCCCCCATGCCCTCAGACCCCAGCGACGGAACCACAGTGCGATTTCGATCTTTAGCTACAGACACAGGGAAAGAGAGAAAGAAACGGGGAGAGAGAGGGGGGTAGGGAGAGAAAGAGGGGACACATGGTTCGAAATGCAGGAAAGGAATGTTGACAAACGGTCTCCAGCCATCCTTCTTACACTTCCGCCTTTTGTTCCTGCTGTGTCAACCTCTCCTCGCTCGATGCCAGTCTTCCTGCAAAGTTCGTGTTCCCTTCCCCTCCCCCAGCTGGCTGCCTCCTGCCGCTCTCCTGTCGAATACGACTCTCGTCCAAACTGTCGATTCTCTCTCCGCTCGTCGCTGGTTTCCCTGCAAAGTTGGTTGTCTCTCAGATGTCACGTTCGCTCAGTGTCCCCTCTCCTTCGTGTGCCCTCCGTTTCCTACAGTCTGCCGCTTTCCTCTCGATCGCACTGCCAGCTGGCAACGCTATGCCGCTTCCTCTCGATCGCGCCACTAGCTGGCCATGTTCTCCCGCTTTCCTCTTGGATCCTCCCCTCTCACCCTATGATCTCTTGTGCAGTCTCCGCGCCCCTTGGTGTCCCCTCTCCTTCCTGTCCTTCGTGTCCCCTCCCTTTCCGCCATGCAGTCTCCTTTCCCCGTGGTGTTCCTCCCCCCTCCTACATTATGCCTCTCTCTTCTCCATCGCGATCCTAGTTGCCCTGCCGCATTCCCACCTCTGCAAGTGCTTGCTCTCCTCGCTGGCCAGTGCCTTGCCAGCTGGCTACGCTATGCCGCTCTCCTCTCAATCGTGCAGCTAGCGAGCTGCGCTCGCTTGCTTGCAAAGGATCCGAACGGTGCTGGTCCGTTCCGATCCACACCTCGAACGGCGCAGGTCGGCTGTGACCCATTTGGGTTGGCCCCGGCCTCGGCGAATCCAGAAATTTTGTGCCGGGCCCAAAGAAAAGAACAGCGGTGCATCTTCCCAGGTTCTAGCGGGAGATTCATTCTCATCGTGCACATTCGGTGAGTCGTGGATCCAAGGCCCAGCACGATATACGTGCTGACAAAGTAGTTGGGGGGGGGACAGCTGTGCATTTCCCTGGTTCCTAGGTGGAGATACATTCTCATTTTGCACTCATCTTTGTGCACTGGATTTGAACATGCCCGGACGTGCTGCTATGTACTTGTATTCAAACGTGGGTGCAAAGAGCGAGCCCAACACTGGCGCCCGGGGCCTCGTGTGGGAGCGTGACGCGAGACTCGCTTTAAGAGTATATAAGAACTCGTACAATTTAGGTCTAGTAGTGAAGTGGGTGACAGGTTGGAATCACAACTTCGATTGAAAAAATCCTAGAAAGCACGAGAAGAATGAAGCTGGATGGACATTGTTCTACGAGGCATTTGCTCAGCCGTCCGTTTTTCTTATTTGTGTGGTGTGTGTGTGTGTGTGTGTGTGTGTGTGTGCATGTGCGTGTGCATGTGTGCGTGAAAGGTTTGGAGTTGGCGACTTCTCATGGAGGGAGTTTGTTCCACGTCTGAAGCCGAAGACCCAGGAGGAAATTAAAGAGTACGGTGAGCCTGCCCCTGTATGAATGCTGGCCCCCCAATGGCCCAAAAATTACCCTAGGTGTCCCAGATGTCCCATTTCAAGCCGACTGGCAATCTGCTTAGTTGCTCTTTTTTATGCCTGTGCCACTGGGTGAGCCTCCCTATGCATTCCGCTAGGTGATATTGTTATCCTACAAGCTGCAATGCCCCCGAAGTGATCTGTCCAGGGTACCTTTCTTTTTGTTTTTTTTTTTTCTTTTTTGTTCTTTCTTTTTTTTTCTTTTCTTTTCTTTTTTTCTTTTCTTTTTTTTTCTTTTTCTTTTTTTGTAATCTGGGGTATTCCATCATAGCTGCCACAGGCAGTGTCTAATGGCTGAAGCCAAGGTCTAACCAACGAGAGCCCATCAAACCCCTCCTAGCACAGCCAGATTGTTACAACTCTGGAGCTGCAGAGATCCCTCCCTTTTCTCCTCTTTACTCCCGAACAAACCATGGGAGTGATCACCCTACCGTGTGCACCCTATTTGGAGAACTCCCGTCCTTTCCAATTTTTACTTATTTTTCTTTTTCAAAGGGCGATGGCCTTTGGGTATCATCATCGAACTGACCGGCCCAAGGTAATTCAGAATAGTTGTACCATTTTACTCATCTGCATCCGGCGGAGTTCGAACTTGGGTCTGTATTTCAGCAGTTCAGGGATGTACCAACTGAGCTAGGCCCATTCTTTTTTTTTTTTTTTTTTTTTCAAGCAGTCTTCACACCCCCCCTCCTCCAAGGGTGGTGCTCCACCGAACAGTAGGCGTTAGTCTCTCCTATCCCTCCTAGCTGCGTCCCTGCACCTCGATAACAGGTGATGCTGACCCCTAACCCCCTCTGCAGAAGACCCAATCGTGCTCTCCCTGCTCTTCATACTCTTTACTTTGTTGCATGGTGTTATTTGCTAGTATCACCTAACAATCCGGCGCTTCTCGTTGAGCCAGGACCTGTTGCACCCTAACACGCATGAACGGGCTGAACCTTCTCCGTCCAACTCGACCTCTGGTGTCCTGTCGCTTCTCGTCAACACAGGACCTGTTGCACCCTAACACGCGTGAATGGGCTGAACCTTCTCCGTCGAACCCGACCCCTGGTGCGCTGGCGCTTCTCGTCAACCCAGGACCTGCACCCTAACACGGGTGAATGGGACCCCTGCTGCCCTGGCACTTCTCGTCAACCCAGGACCTGTTGCACACTATCACGGATGAACGGGCTGAACCTTCTCCGTCCAACCCGACCCCTGGTGCGCTGGTGCTTCTCGTCGACCCAGGGCCTGTTGCACCCTAATACGTGTGAATGGGACGAACCTTCTCCGTCCAACGCGACCCCTGGTGCCCTGAATGGCTGATTCTACCAGGTATGCCACCAACGATACCTTCGCCTAACACAATCCGGTGCTAGTAAACCACCGAGCACCTCCCTGATCCCCAAGGCCAAGCCCCACCAACTCTGTCTAATCCATCTTTTGTCTACATCGCCTAGCTGACTACGGCTACTGCTAGCAATGCTACCAAGAATATCAGTATCCCACCTTCCTACAATCCCGACATTATAATCCACCTGCTGTCTTCACCCGAATAGAACACCCGGTCATTATTGCTGTATCCAGCCTGAAGTTTGCAGCTTTGCACCAAAAAAATACAGCTACAGTGATCGGCTGTGTTCTATTTGGGTGAAGACGTCAGTCCCTTCCTAGCTGGCCCCCACCTACTCTGTGCAATCAATTCGGCCCCTCTTCCTGCTATCTCCGAAACCAGAAGTAGTAGTACACAACCCACTATACGCAGTCTGAGTGGGCTAGACTGGGTTTGGGGGGCTAAGCGTGCAGGTTGTCATGCTGTAACACCCCTAATCATCCCCAGCGGTAAAGCGTTGCCCATTTGGGGCCCAAAAATGACCCAAAATCTCCCAAATGTCTGCTTTCAGGCCCACCTCCTTGAATCCTTGACCCTAAGGGCATGAGGCTCTAAAGGCCCTAAAGGGCCTAAAGGCCCTAAACCCTATATCCTGGCAGTATGCACACTGACGAGGTTATGAAGCCTGCATCTCAACGTAGATTCTGAGGGCCTGCTGACATTTGCAAATCCAAATTCACCGATTGCTGAAACTTTCAATGACAGTTGGTTTTTCAAAAAAAAAAAAGGAAAAAGAAAAAAAAGCGGACAAGGACTTGCACTGCTGGCCATAGTGGAGGCAAATTATGAATGTGCTGGTTTTAAATTGTGAAAAAGATTAGAAAAATCAGCAACCCAGGAGGCAACGATGCTAGTTCCTTGTTACGCTGGGGTTCGTGATTCGACAGGCTTGTGCTTTGTCGGACTGTATTCTGGGATTGACCGGGGTAATTCATTTATTTTTTTTTGAGACCGGGGCAATTCAAGGTTGAAACCAGGTTTAGACTAGCGGGAGCTTCAAATGGGGGGATACGGGGAGGCTGACGGGGGGCTCGCAGGTTGTTTGGGGTGTGGAAGGCAGGTTTAAACGACCAGTGCGTCGACCATATATCGGCCGTGGGCTGGCGCCGCGACTTTCGGGGGCCGGGCGAAATTCGGGCTGTTGATGAAAATGATTAACGGCAGCCGGGATCCCCGCAGGTCATGGCGTGTTAACAACACAGAGGGCCGAGGTGCTGGTGGTTTAAGTTGCCTGATGGGCTGAGGAGCCTGGGATCGGTTTAAACCACCAGTGCCTTGCCCATGCGGATTAGGGAATCGAAATCGAGCCAATCTGAAAATTTTGGAGGCTGGGGGCTACTGGACCAAAATGGCTGGCAGCGCTGTCAGCCAAAAGAGAGAGAAAAAAAAAAGTGCGCTGGCATTTCGGAAAAGCTTGGCACGGAGGGGGAATCAGCCTCGGCAAAAGGAGGCTCGGGGGTACTTGTGGTTAAGGGATGATTTTTCTGAACCCACACCAGCTTCACCCGAATAATATGCCCGGTCATTATAGCTGCATTTGGGGCAACTTTCAGTCCACATGCAGCGACAATGATAGGGCGTTCTATTTGGGTGAAGAGTCTGAAGACGGTAATTTGTGAGATATACACATCCTCTGCCACAGTGTCTTGTTATCAAACTGTGAGTCTGTGATATCCTTTTGGTTTTGATTCTCCTCAAACCGTTTGCTATTCCCTGCACTGGAGGATTCTTGCAGGTATGGTACTTTGTTTTTCAAGCACATAGAGGAGGAGACGACACATAATGACCGGTTTTCAGGTATATGGCTTTTTTCCATGGCCTGCCTTCCTGAAGTGGTTGGCGGCGCATTGGGCTTTACTATACCATTTGCCAAATGTGAAAGGTGGCGAGTGTATCCGTGGAGGGTTGTGGAACGATACCCTATGCCTACAAAATTTCAGTGGGCGATCTTTTGTTCCTGTGGCTACAAAGGCATTTGAAGAAATACACACGTGTGTGTGTGTGTGTGTGTGTGTGTGTGTGTGTGTGTGTGTGAGAGAGAGAGAGAGAG